AACGGTAAGAATATGATAAAGTTAAGAATAGGATGAAGGTAAGAATGGGATGAAGGCAAGAGTTTAATGAAGATAAGAATGGTATGAAGACAAGAATGGGATGAGGACAAGAATGGGACGAAGGTAAGAGTAGGAGGAAAGGTAAAAAAAAAACATGGAAAGTTTACGTCAAATCACGTTTGTTAAGAAGGTTGGCGCATCTGAGTATGTACTGTGAGAGGGAAGAGTCGACGACAACAAAGCCAGGACTCAGGTTCATGTTGGGTGGGTAGGTTGTGTATCAGAGTCGACCCAACCAGACGGCGTCTGTGTAGAGGCAGGAAAGATCATTTTAGAAGACCAATCTATGGGGGTGATCAGTTTTGTAACATGACAGAAGAGAGCATTGATTGTGTCTGCAGACTTAACACTTCTTTTGTGTTAAGTCTGTCATTGAGTGTACGGCCAGTTTCACCAAGGTATTGGAAAGGACAAGACCAACAGGAAATAGAGTAGACACCAGCAGCATTAGGAGCAGGAGGAGCAGTGTGAACCAGATTGCTACGAAGAGTGTTAGTTTTGTCGAAAGGCGAGCTTTATGTCCAGAGGACGACGGGTAGTTGGGAGATTTTTTAGTTCAGGTATGAAGGGAAGGCAGAGCACAGTGCTAATAGTGTTGGAAACAGGTTTGGGATCAAATTTCGTTTACCTTGAGACTAGACACAGTTGATAAAATGTGAACGGTATCCAAGGCAAGACGTAAATAAAAAAAAACATTTCAGAATCAGGAAACTGAGGGTGACTGATGCGTGTGGCCCGGAGGAAGAGAGACGCGAACACTTTTCTCAACAGGAGGACGATGGTAGGAAAAGAAGGGATGGGAACGATCAAGGGAAAGCGCCAAGCCATTACGACTATATAGAACTTGGAAGGGGTTTAGGAAAAGGATTTGGGATGGGACGAATGGCAAGGAATGTTGCCCAACCACTTGGACGGTCCGGGACTGAACGCCGTCGCTTCATGCGATGATGCGAGACCTTCCAGACGATCTCGCATGAAGCAAGACCGTCGCTCTACCGTCCAGCCCAAGTGGTGGGGCTGGAAAAGACTCGAGTCATGGAGCCATAGAGCAGAGTTATCATCAACAGAGCGCAGCCAGAGAGTATATCAACACCTGATGCGCACAATCCTCGTGCAACTCACTCCACTCTCAACTGACCTGCCATTAAAACTGCACACAATTGAGTCCTGAATGAGTTTACTCCTGACTTAACTGATACCGGCTGAGCTGACACCAGAATGAGTCGATACCCGAGTTGACATCTCTCTCCTCCTTCCCTCTCTTGGTGCTTGTACAGTTATGTAGAGGGGAAGGCAGAGGGGGCCAGCACATGTGAACCTGCCCTGGGGGAGGCTGCGTATGGGTGGGGAGAGGCGTGGGTGGAGGAGAGACGGGAGACAAAGGGTGGAGGAGAGCGGGAAGACAAAGGGTGGAGGAGAGCGGGGAGACAAAGGGTGGAGGAGAGCGGGGAGACAAAGGGTGGAGGAGAGCGGGGAGACAAAGGGTGGAGGAGAGCGGGAAGGAAGACACTGGAGTAGGGGCCCATCAGACCTCCGACTATTGCTCCCGCAGGCGTCGGCGGGAGAAATAAAGTGGAGTCTCAACTTGTGCGAGTTCGACCTGGCTTCCTGCGTCAGGAGGTTGGAGGGAGAGACTCGCCGCCCCTCACCAAGGCCCGCAATACAAGGCTGAACCCGCGGGAGTCGCGACCTTACCGCCCCTGGACGCATATACCGCTCCTGCCGCCACGGACCCTCCCTCACTCGACCTCCAAGACTTAATGAAACTTTTCTTTTCAATAACCCCAATGGGAGATGTTCCGATTTACGGCGGGAAAATTCTCGACTGTAGTTGGCGGCACTCCGGTAACCCCCCCCCCCCCCACCCCCCCACACACACACTCCCAGCAACACCTCCCAGGACTCCTCCCCCCCCACCCCACACACACACACACACACACACACACACACACACACTCTCCCAGCAACACCTCCCAGGGCTCCTCCCCCCACCCTCACACTCCCAGCAACACCTCCCAGGGCTCCTCCCCCACCCTCACACTCCCAGCAACACCTCCCAGGGCTCCTCCCCCCACCCTCACACTCCCAGCAACACCTCCCAGGGCTCCTCCCCCCACCCTCACACTCCCAGCAACACCTCCCAGGGCTCCTCCCCCCACCCTCACACTCCCAGCAACACCTCCCAGGGCTCCTCCCCCCACCCTCACACTCCCAGCAACACCTCCCAGGGCTCCTCCCCCCACCCTCACACTCCCAGCAACACCTCCCAGGGCTCCTCATCTCTTCCTAACAGTTGCAATTCTGCCGTCTACCGCACCTGCTGCAGCTCCTAAGCACACTGACACACCCACACTCAGCCCCCGCCCACACCCACCTTCAGCCCCCGCCCACACCCACCCTCGTCCCCCGCCCACACCCACCTTCAGCCCCCGCCCACACCCACCCTCAGCCCCCGCCCACACCCATCCTCAGCCCCCCGCCCACACGCCCCAGCTCCCACAAACACGCGTCAACAGCAGTGTTCGTCATTGCAGTTTATATAGTGAAACTGGTGAGTTTCACCAGATTCATCACCACACCAACAACAGTGTGGTGTTGTGTTACGAGGCTTGACGAGATCGTCACAACACTCGCGTGGATGCACACAGTAACGTGACGAATCAAAGAGCAAATCCGTAGTAGCCGTGATAAGGATTCGAACCTATGCTCTGGGTACTCCCAAACAAATGCCTTAGACGACAGACAGCCTCGTTGAAAGAAGAAGCGTCAGAGGTAGAATTTCCTGGCCGACAGAACCAAAGCGCATGGGGCAAGGAGGGGGGGGGGATTATGTGAAACCCTAGTTTGGCTTTAGTGGAAGCCTCGGAAACCCTGGTTACAATCCTTTTACCATGTTGAGGCCTAGTCGTCTAAGGCGTTTGCTTGGGAACACCCAGAGATTAGGTTCGAATCCTCATCACGGCTTCAACTGACTCACTCGTTTGTATGATTCCCAATAACCAACACAACCTTTACAGTCACCACCCGCACAACCCACAACCCCCTCCACACTACACCCTTAGTTTACTGGTCTTTACCTATGATCATTTTTGTATTGATCAACCATCGTTAATTATGTATAGAGAGGGATCTAACTCTCCAGCTCAAGTTATGTTGCCAGGGCAAACTTTTGTGTCCCCCCCCCCCTTCCCCCCTCCCTCAGAGGGAGAGCATTTTTACTACAGAACTTAATCCGACTTTATACGCTCCGATAAAGTTCAATGAAATAAGTTAACTATCATATGTTACTGTTGTTCAATCTCAAAGCAATTTAATGGCAGACAATTTTTTAAACCCTTGGAATGACGATACCTGATCAACCAGGCTGTGATTCACACGTCAGGATGCGAGCAGCTGCGTCCAACAGCCTGGTTGACCAGTCCAGCAACGAGGAGGCCTGGTCGAGGACTGGGCCGCGGGGACGCTAAGCCCCGAAACCATCTCAAGGTAACTTTAAGGTAAGGTAATCCCGTACCAATATCACTAACACATTTGCTGGATCTTTTTTTCTGGTAAAAACTATTATAAACAAAATCAGCAACAAGTAAACTAGCAGACACAGCTGCCAAGGAAACTATTTAGATGGCAAGACAAGACTTGACTTTATAATCCAGCTGGAAAATATGCTTCGACAAGCCGCCGCGTTCCTGTCCCCGTCGAGGCCACTGGAGATTGTGGCCTTCAAGTAACTCCAAAAATCTTTCCATATTCAGATTCTGACCCAAGAATTTAAAACATTCTGCAAACACTGCAAAGCCAGTTGCCTCACAGCTCCTAAAAACACACATTATATTTATAACCGGCCATCGTCGTATATACTAAAAATAGGGAATGAGAAACGCCACGAGACCAATTACTTATCAACCGGGCAAGAAATATCTCGTGAACCCTTGACGGGTGTGAGAAATCTGGTCCTTGCTGTCCAAATTTCAGAGTTCCGCTGATAGTGCTACATCCCCTGATACAGTAGGTCGTCAGGTATTTCAGAAGACTGGCAATGTTTCCTCCCTCCCGTGCCCGTGACTCTGGTGGTGTCGTATCTACCTAGGTAACCTGGATTCACTTCAGAATAGCACAGCCCAATATAGCAATACTGGTTCTCTGTTTTTCGTGTACAATTACTTAACCATCCTAGGTATCGTTATCTTGAGGTTATCTTGAGATGATTTCGGGGCTTTTTAGTGTCCCCGCGGCCCGGTCCTCGACCAGGCCTCCACCCCCAGGAAGCAGCCCGTGACAGCTGACTAACTCCCAGGTACCTATTTACTGCTAGGTAACAGGGGCATTCAGGGTGAAAGAAACCTTGCCCATTTGTTTCTGCCTCGTGCGGGAATCGAACCCGCGCCACAGAATTACGAGTCCTGCGCGCGCGCTATCGTGGCCAGGAACTGTTCCTAGTCACGGTACCTGGCCACGGTACCTGGTCACGGTACCTGGCCACGGTACCTGGCCACGGTACCTGGCCACGGTACCTGGTCACGGTACCTGGTCACGGTACCATGTGATAATAAGCGGCTACTGTAGCATGAGTCAAGTCGTCTACACACTACAGTGAGGAGTCATTCCCGTCACAAGTACCGGCTGCTGATAAAAATAAACTGAACTACATATTCGTCGCACAACATTACGTAAACACATGTAAGCAAAATAATGCAGATGCCCAAAGTCTGTGACAACTGGAGCTACAGGTGTCAAGTCCAAGTGGTATGACACAGGTGCCGTCAACAGGCACCAGTAACCTGGACCAGCAACACCCGCAGGTACAGCACCAGCCACAGCCAATGTCAGCCACAGCTGCAGCAATAGACTAAAGCCACAGCCACAACTTAGCCATGTAGCTAATGGTGGAGTTACATGACAGGTAACGCCACGGGCAGGCGAGAGAGCCAGACCGTGGAGGAGAACACGAGAGTAGAGTACTCACCCCTCATGGACGGATGTGTAGGCGGGGTCAGAGGCGGGAGGGGCGGTGGAGGTAGTGGTGGCGACTGCTTCGCTGGCCCCAGCAGCGTCTCCCTCACAACTCTGGTGGTTGTGGGAGGTGGCGGGCGGGTGTCCTTCGGTGGAGATTGCGTTGGCGTGCTCCTCGCCGCCCTCCAGCGTGGCGGCGTCCTCCTCCTTCTCATCGAAGGCGTTGAGGGGAGAATCTGGGAGCGGGAGGCTCAGGGCGTCAGAAGGTGTTGTAACTCGCAAGACACGAGCCTGCAGCCTTACAGGCGCCTCAACATGCTCAAGACAAACAAAGTACACTAACAGGTTTAGCGAATTTACACATTGTAACACATATGAATGTCAGTGTATTGAAACACCAAAATGGATCAATAATCATCTTGAATCATCATTTAACACTAAAGTGAATGGTAACCAATCAAATTCTCCCAACAAGATGAGTGCATTTCTACTGGCTAGTGCAAGAGGTGAGTGCGGGCAGCTACGAGAGGCATCACGTGAAGAAGCGGCAAGTTAGCAGAATGACGGGACGCATCATGCCTACCGTGAGCCCCACGCTAGCAGCGGAGTGTACCTTGCAGAGGAGTGGGCGTGGGCGTGGGCGTGTAGGGTGAGTGGGGCGGTGAGTGGGCCGAGTCTGGCGGCAGGTGGCCGAAGTCGGGGCTCGGCAGGTCCAGGGGGTAGCCGGCAACGACCACTGTTACAAGGGGTGGGCGGGTGACGGGGGGCAGGGACCAGAGGCAAGAGTGTTAAGAGAGATTTAGTGCCAGGCTTGATGCAGTCCAACCACCACACACACACACACACACACACATAAACACACACACACACACACACACACACACACACACACACACACACACACACACACACACACACACGCGCGCGCGCGCACACACAAGCACGCACGCACAAGCGCTATGAGAGCTATGCGCGCGGGTTAACCAAAGGGGTAAGGAAGGAATGCACATAAGCACGAGACCATGGAAAAATGACATTAACCAAAGAATGAGAGAACACAAGAATTCCAGATAGCGAGAATTGAGTACATCAGAGAGAGAGGAGAAGCAGAGAGGCAATATGAAACAGAGCAGACAAAGCGAACACCCAACCTAAGCTGATCCATAGCTACATCTGGAGGAAAATAACAGTAAAATAATAAGTGTTGAAATTGAGGATAGGGGAGGACTCATTTACAAAGAATGACAGTGACATGTGAAGAACTCAAAAGATTCCAGGAGGTCTTCACAATAGAGAAAAAACAAGTGCCCGAACCTGAAAGGGATAGAATCAAACTGAGGAGCACTGGAGGATTTAGATTATAAATACTGCATCTGATGGTACTTCGTCAGTTATGTCAGAGACGCATCTAACTTAGTCGATCCTCAGTGTAAATAATGCTATACCAAGTAAAAAAAAAAAAAAAAAAGCTGAGACGAATCACAACATAAAAGAACCTAAATAAACTATATAGGTGTACATAAAAATGACTGTTAGACTTCAATTGAAGTAAATGCAACAAGAGGGATTTACGCCACGGAAAGAGTATACGGTAACGGGAAAACAAATGGTTAATACACAAAAGGAAAATATAGATAGAAAATGTAGATAGAACCCCAAACCTATCATTCGGGAGAGGGTGGGGAGGGGCCTATCATTCGGGAGAGGGTGGGGAGGGGCCTATCATTCGGGAGAGGGTGGGGAGGGGCCTATCATTCGGGAGAGGGTGGGGAGGGGCCTATCATTCGGGAGAGGGTGGGGAGGGGCCTATCATTCGGGAGAGGGTGGGGAGGGGCCTATCATTCGGGAGAGGGTGGGGAGGGGCCTATCATTCGGGAGAGGGTGGGGAGGGGCCTATCATTCGGGAGAGGGTGGGGAGGGGCCTATCATTCGGGAGAGGGTGGGGAGGGGCCTATCATTCGGGAGAGGGTGGGGAGGGGCCTATCATTCGGGAGAGGGTGGGGAGGGGCCTATCATTCGGGAGAGGGTGGGGAGGGGCCTATCATTCGGGAGAGGGTGGGGAGGGGCCTATCATTCGGGAGAGGGTGGGGAGGGGCCTATCATTCGGGAGAGGGTGGGGAGGGGCCTATCATTCGGGAGAGGGTGGGGAGGGGCCTATCATTCGGGAGAGGGTGGGGAGGGGCCTATCATTCGGGAGAGGGTGGGGAGGGGCCTATCATTCTGGAGAGGGTGGGGAGGGGCCTATCATTCGGGAGAGGGTGGGGTGGGGCCTATCATTGAAAAAGTCATAACTAGAGCAAATCTAAAGGTTTGCTACAAAACTGGGTCAGGAACTAGGAGAACCGAGTTACAAGGAAAGGTTGAGAGAACTAGACCACACCACGGTAGAAAAGAGAAGAAAGGGTGAGGGGGGGGGGAGGCAAAAGGGGGAGGCGGAGAGGCGAAACGATTGTGATTTTTAGAAGAATTGGCAAAATAGACAGAACCAAAATGTTGATCATAAGCCGGGGGGCAGGACAAGAGGTCACTGGGGGCAGAACAAGAGGTCACTGGGGGCAAGACAAGAGGTCACTGGGGGCAGGACAAGAGGTCACTGGGGGCAGGACAAGAGGTCACTGGGGGGCAGGACAAGAGGTCACTGGGGGCAGGACAAGAGGTCACTGGTGGCAGGACAAGAGGTCACTGGGGGCAGGACAAGAGGTCACTGATGGAAACTAGAAGATTAGGAACCAGAGGGATGTATGACAGCACTTCTTTAGGGGAAGAAGGGAATGAGATCAGAGGAGGAGGAGGTAGTTGAAGCTGGCACTACACACAGCTTCACAAGTGTGGCAAGCGACACGCCACCCATTGTATTATGTGCCCTGCAAGCACATGTGGGTGAGGACACACACACACCTACACACATTAGGTAAGACAGTCATACATGTATTTATATACAACACTAATACAATATCCGGTGTCCTCTCAGTAAAATTATATATATATATATATATATATATATATATATATATATATATATATATATATATATATATATATATATATATATATATATATATATATATATATATATATATATATATATATATATATACACATACACACACACACACAGTATTAGTACAGGCAATACATAGCTTATTTATACATGCAATGTGCTTCCTGCCATCCACAGCATAGTCACTCGGCACCTGCTTCACATGACACTCGTTGCTTGGCACCAGTGCCATCTGACAGGTGCAACTCGTATCAGCGTCACATAGTACCAGTGGCATCCAGCAGTCACTAGTGTCATCCGGCACTAGTTAACAAGACTCGGTGTTATCAGCGATCAGTGTCACATTCATTGTTTAACCAGCACTAGTGTCAACATACGTGTCACCTAGTGCTAGTGTCGCCTAGCATCACTGATCTCTCTCACTAGTGCCACTTAGCATTAGTGTCACCTAGAACTAGAGTCACCTATTAATAACCGAACTTGGCACTAGTGTCACTCAGCATGTGTTATCGAGTATTTGTGTCACCTAGCACTAGTGCTACCAAGAGTTTGTGATACCTAACATGTGTCAAACCCAGCATCAGTGTCATCTGGCACCGGTGCCACTCAGCATTAGTGTCAGCTGGCACCGGTGCCACCCAGCATTAGTGTCAGCTGGCACCAGTGCCACCCAGCATTAGTGTCAGCTGGCACCGGTGCCACCCAGCATTAGTGTCAGCTGGCACCGGTGCCACCCAGCAGTGTCATCAGGCACTGGTGCCACCCAGCATTAGTGTCAGCTGGCACCGGTGCCACCCAGCATCAGTGTCATCAGGCACTGGTGCCACCCAGCATTAGTGTCAGCTGGCACCGGTGCCACCCAGCGTCAGTGTCAGCTGGCACCGGTGCCACCCAGCATTAGTGTCAGCTGGCACCGGTGCCACCCAGCATTAGTGTCACCAGGCACCGGTGCCACCCAGCATCAGTTTCAGCTGGCACCGGTGCCACCCAGCATTAGTGTCACCAGGCACCAGTGTCACCAGGCACCAGTGCCACCAGGCACCAGTGCCACGTGGCAGCAGAGAGCCTCCACAACACCGTGTAACAATCGTACACATTCTCCGCCACCAACCAATCTCACCCGTACACAACACGTTAATAAGGAGAGCTTAAGGCTAGCTTATACACTAACACATCTCTTAATGTATGAGTTAGAACATTAGTGGGGGATGGGGAGTGGGTGGGGGGATGGGGAGGTGGGTGGGGGCATGAGGAGTGGGTGAGGGGATGGGGAGGTGGGTGGGGGCATGGGGAGGTGGGTGGGGGCATGGGGAGTGGGTGAGGGGATGGGGAGGTGGGTGGGGGCATGGGGAGGTGGGTGAGGGGATGGGGAGGTGGGTGGGGGCATGAGGAGTGGGTGAGGGGATGGGGAGGTGGGTGGGGGCATGGGGAGGTGGGTGGGGGCATGGGGAGGTGGGTGAGGGGATGGGGAGGTGGGTGGGGCCATGGGGAGGTGGGTGGGGGCATGGGGAGGTGGGTGAGGGGATGGGGAGTGGGTGAGGGGATGGGGAGATGGGTGAGGGGATGGGGAGTGGGTGAGAACATGGGGAGGTGGGTGAGGGGATGGGGAGTGGGTGAGAACATGGGGAGGTGGGTGAGGGGACGGGGAGTGGGTGAGGGGATGGGGAGGTGGGTGAGGGGATGAGGAGTGGGTGAGAACATGGGGAGGTGGGTGAGGGGATGGGGAGTGGGTGAGGGGATGGGGAGTGGGTGAGGGGATGGGGAGTGGGTGAGGGGATGGGGAGTGGGTGAGGGATGGGGAGGGGTGGGGGAGAGGAGAGTTACGAGGGAGACATGGATCCGAGGGGAGATTACCTGAGTGAGGGGAAAGTAGGATACGAGCAACCACCTGTGACACTCACCTGACTGGCACTCACCTGTGAGACTGGGCCACACTGTGACTCACCTGACTGGCACTCACCTGTAAGACTGGCCACACTGTGACTCACCTGACTGACACTCACCTGTGAGACTGGCCACACTGTGACTCACCTGACTGGCACTCACCTGTGAGACTGGCCACACTGTGACACTCACCTGATTGGCACTCACCTGTGAGACTGGCCACACTGTGACACTCACCTGATTGGCACTCACCTGTGAGACTGGCCACACTGTGACTCACCTGACTGGCACTCACCTGTGAGACTGGCCACACTGTGACACTCACCTGATTGGCACTCACCTGTGAGACTGGCCACACTGTGACTCACCTGACTGGGATACGCATGTGTCTAATACACACGTGACTTAGGCTCGCCTGACTGCAACACACACATGACTCACACACACATGACTAAACCACTAACATAATTACCACAAGCGAGTCCGCCTTTACTTTACTTTCTCCTTATAATTACAAGGTTACATTTCAATACTTAATTCACGGCAACTCGCCTGCCTCACCCAACCACTTGGGCTGGACGGTAGAGCGACGGCCTCGCTTCATGCAGGTCGGCGTTCAAATCCCCGACCGTCCAGGTGGCTGGGCACCATTCCTTCCCCCCGTCCCATTCCAAATCCTTATCCTGATCCCTTCCCAGTGCTAGATTGTCGTAATGGCTTGGCGCTTTCCCCCGATAATTAAACAAAATTAAAAACAAATCAGTGTAGGGTTGACTGACCCCTTATCATGAGGTTATGTTGAGATGATTTCGGGGCTTAGTGTTCCCGCGGCCCAGTCCTCGACCAGGCCT